TACCAGATTAATCAAACACTGGTTTGTGAGAACACAGGAGGAATTTCAATACAGCAAAAAAATATTGAGTTTTCTCTTATCCTCTTGTGAAAGGCTTGCTGCTCTCTCACAATACCAAACTCCCCAACAGCACGCAAAAAAAAAAAAAAAAAAAAACCCACCTTGGTAGAAGGACAGGAACAAACACCTCTCCTCACCAAGGTTATTCAATGATAAGCAACAGTACTCACGCACACAATGACGGCTCCAAGTGCCAGCTATTTTCAAAAGTCATGGAATTGTAGATTTTTTGTTAATCATGCTCCTTGAGTGTTGGGTATTCACTGGCTGAGAGTAACAGTACATTATCTGGCCAAAGAAATAAATTAAAGATGTGGAAGCAGATTCAGTCATAAGGACATAATGTTGTTATTTCTTGTAGATGAATAACATGTTCATGCTGTCGTCTAGCGCTGTCTCCTGCCCACTCCATTCAGACCTTGCTCATAAAGCAACCTATGAATGACATTCTCAGCAGGAAAATACAAAATTTATATTACACATTTTTATTAGACGACACTTTAAAGGGATTTAAAGAAGGCTAAATAGAAAAAAAACATATTTTTTTTCTCTCGATGCAGACATTACTGAAAGGCGAGATTCTAGGCATATATCCACGCTGAAATAAAAGATTTAAAAAATCTTTTTGGTGAGTGGAAAAAAATAAAAATCAAGAACTTTGCATGTCTAATTAAAATGTAAACAGTGTAATGAGGACATCAGTGATTTAGGCAAACGTCTCTGTGGCTGCCACTGGGGGTATGATAATTACAGAGGCAAATCTATGAATGCACATGAATCTCCTACAAGTCCAGATTAAAAGCCTTAGTGCTAAACCTAGTTTAGTACACCTGGGGATTGTCTATTCTAGCCAATCCCCAACAGGCACCAAGCTGCCTCGTCTCCTTATGAGTGCAGAGACACCTCATGTGAAGCAGATGAAACAAAGCCCCTGTTTCAATGCGTTGGAAACGAGCAGAACAAGGAGTTTAAGGCAACAAATGCTGTACTCTGTGTAAATAATACGCCTGGCAATAATGGCCTGAATAAACCAGCCCTGCAACATACCTCATGAAAGTGCTGCTATTATAATCAGTCATTCAGTGAACCCTAAGCTCTATAAGCACATTATACTTTATGGTATGGATCATAATGACATTATAGGATGTATGTGTGAGGGATTAGTTTCCTTTAAAAAAAAAAGAAAAAGAAAAGAAATTAGAGAACAAGGCATCGTGTCCACCCTCAATCTGCTACAAAGAAAACCACAGACCAGCATGCAAACACACATTCAGCTCACACACACACAACATCTCTGCACATAATCCCTTAAGTATTTTTTTTTTCCTCAAAAAATACAATATACACAAGAATAAAACCAAAGAAATCTAAGGAGCTGCTGGAATTACAAGCTGAAGTAAAACAGGCTCCAAATATCCGCAAGGTCCTTCAGTATGCAACCTGCATTGTTTTATCCACCAGGATCTGCTCAACTAAATTATTCTGTGAGTATTTTGTCAGAATTAGAACAAAAAAAAAAAAAAAATGACATGACAATCCCGTAGCTAGAAGACGTACGAAGGGTAAGAACAAGCAGCCATTGGTAGGCACATGCATTTTAGAAAACGTCTATGCCATATGCTGTCACTCAGAGGAAGAAGAAAAAAAAAAAAACAAGTCTGAGCAGACAGTCAAAAAAAAAAAAAAAAAAAACAAGTCTGAGCAGACAGTCACTGTGTCTAAATGAGATGGTAGGAGGAGGAGGAGGGAAGAGAAAGGGAGGATGTCAAGGATTCATGGTCCTTCATCTTTGCAGTAGAGCAAACACGTCCCTCAGTATAGCAACAGACAGCTGCCTCCACCTTCTAATGCAGTCCAACTTAAATCACTGCAAGAATTGTCAGTATAGAGAGAAACACACAAAGATAACATAGCAAGCTGCCATGAGGGAAACGACAGAGATGTGGATACAAGAGAGAAAGACGAATAGAGAAAGAGACAAAGAGAGAGAAGGGAGGGAGGGAGGCAGGCAGGAAGGGAGGAAGGGAGGAGGGGGGGAGACCCGTTGAAAGACTGGAGTTTTTTCGTCCCTTTTTTGCTGGAGTCTGACTCCGTTGGGGACTCCCTCGCGTTTTATATGAAAAACAGGAGAGACACCACTTAACATATTTGCTTAAATGACAATCCTGCATTGATCTGGTACAATATAGTCGAGGGCTTGGATGGGATTTCTTGTAGTTACTGACAAATAGATCCATCTGTAAAGATGAGCATTTCATCTATTTACAAAAGCCCTGCAGACATCCCAGGGGGTGTTTACACAGAGTCAGCTCAAGGTATTCTGGCTCTAATTGTCTTCGTTCGTGCACGTATAAAGTGTCAGTTCTGTCGCGCAGCACTTCCCTAAAGTAATGCCTTAAATCGTGCTGTCAATTCCAGTGATCACTTGTGGTGTTACACACTTCAGATTATGGACAGAACATTTAGGGAAGCTCATCTGCTTCACAAGGACACATGATACACTATCAAGGCAAAGATTTATCCAGAATCCTCAATGATTCCTGTGTTGTGTTTGTGTAGATTAGTAAATGTGAAATTAAGCAACCTAGCAGACTGTATGTTACAACAGTCATAACAGCAGAATTTCTGGAAACCTATTTTGATTTATGCGGTGCAGTTACAATACACTAAAAATGTGAGCTTAAAATGCCGCATTATAGCATGAAAAATAAATTCTAAAATGTGTCTTCTTTTTTAAAAAAATTAAAAATCTAAGTACTAACAAGGTGCACTGACTGCGCAGTGAGAAATAAATCTTCAGCTTTGTCCACCATCAACAAGAGATCCCTTTGTCAATGCAACACAACAAAACACAACTCGAGTATTTCCTACAACGCCTGTGTCACTGGGAGATAGGTGGCCGCAATTACTTAACTTCACACAACTTCTTGTTATTATTTACACTCGCTCTTCAACGTGTGAACATGTGTGACACACAGTGAAGGGGGTGATGAAAACAGGAGGGTCAGCATCTGTTGTAAAAATTCAGCTTCAGAGATTTATGTCAAGCAGCAGCTCAGATTGTTATCATAAGTGCTATCCTATCAGAAATAAACAGAGCTGTCAGCTTCTTTTCATGCACGCTGGAGGTGTCTGGGGTTAAGTAAGGATCTGCGAGAATCGCCTAACACACTGCAGGAGCTCAGACATGGAACCCTTCCGGAGTTTGAACTCTGATAAATATGCTCAGGTAGTATTTAATAATTAGGCTATTAGAGATCAAAGATGCAGGAGGATGGTTTGATAATGACAGGATAATGTTGTGCAATTTATCCAGATAAACCTGCTCCTGTACTGAAATCTTGGAATCATAACGTCCGCTGAAATTAGCTGTGAGCATATGGCAGCATGAAATACAAGCATTATTGTGATTTAAAATAAAAAAATAAAAAAGTTCTGAATTTAATTACGCAACTCCATAAATGAAATGGTACATGTAAAGAGAGTGTGCACGGTGTTTAAGTTTTACAGCACGAGCAGTGGAAACAAATTAAAGTGTGATTTATTGCTCCAATCAATTTGCCATCTTGTTTCAGTGTTCATGTCTGAACAGCTCAAATCAAAATCCACTGGAACAAAAGTAGCCGCCACACATGCATGCATGGGGGGTACGACTACGAAAAAAATAAAACATCCAAATCTGACCGACGAATTTAATACCCACTTTACAAAAACACATCACAACCAAACACTCCAACATAATGAAAACGGTAGTAATGTACATTTTTTCCCACTGAGTGACGGATGCTGGAATGCTGTTATTTTTTGAAGAGGAGTGAAAACATACTTCAGCTCACTGCTGATGATGTTAATTTCCTCTCAAAGCAAAACATGCAAATGAAATGTGTGAGCACAATTAAGTAAATTGTTCTATGGAGGTGGGAAAGGTTCACTTAGGACAAAGTGTTTGCAAAAAAGAGAGACAGGCACACAACTTGTTACTTCTCCTGACTTTGTGTCCATTTGCTGGCTTGTCACAAATCATTTCCACTGCAGCATGAATAACAGTTATTTCTGACTTTGCCTTTGAACTAATTTTTTTTTTTTTTGGACCGGATCTGATGGTTTTTTTTCACTCGTGAATTGTTTCTGAGTGTGACGACTAAATAAAAAGCCCATGTGTGTGTGTGTTTTTCCTACAAGTCCTTCTGGATCGCATGACAAACTGGTGATATTGTAATACTGGCATGTTACAGCAATTCTATATTTTTTGCTGTTCTAGTTACTTCACATCCACAATTATTGAATTAATAATGGCGTGTGTTTGTGATACAACCTGTGACACTGCATTTGTCATTCCAATAATTTCCAAACACATAAAAGAGATCCTGAGTTATTGTCATGTTATAAAATTTATAATAAATAGCACTTTTCAATTCCACCGAGGCGAAATATCTGATTAATGGCTAAGCTCTGAAATAAAAAACACACTCAGCTGTTGAAGCAGGTTTTGAAATTTGCTCTCTAAATGCACAACCCTCATACATTCATCGTCTTTTAAGCAAAAATAGTCAAACTGTTCGAGTCACGCATGCAGAAAGCAGTGCAATGAGGAAGAAAAGGAGGAAAAAAAACTACACATCAAGAATGTCAGTTACAGAAACCAAATTAAAATGGGGGGCAAATTCCTCAACCTTCACAAGGTACTTTGAAATGAATTGATAATGCCACTTGTATGAAATTAATCACACAACGTACCCTTATCTCTCAAGTGTGTGCTCATTACAATTAATTCAACCTAAATCAAGTAAACTTTTGAAGATGGAACCAAAGCATGCACAGGAAAAAAAAAAAGGGAGAAAATAAATAAAACACATTCCTGCAATGACAGCTTTTTTTTTTTTTTCAGATGTGACAAATACAAAAAAATATTAATAAAGATAATTACAAATTGAACATACCATAAATACTGGTGCTAGTGATCATGTCTTCAAGCCTAAAAACAAGAGGAGAGGGAAAACAGCAGAATCGGAATTTTCACGAGGAGGAATTCCAAAGGTTGTTTCTCATAACAGGCACTTTTTTTCTCTCTCTCTCTCTCTCTCTCTCCCCCTCAGCTATCGGATTTCACAACTTTACGCACGGTCTCTTGTTCTGTCCTCGGGTGTTCATTTAGGCAGAGTGATTAAGGAATAAGGAAAAAAAAAAGCGGACCGTGTGAGTGAAATATGTGTGTGTACATATATATATATATATAAAAAGGAAAAAAAAAAAAAGGAAGGAAGGTCTGCACGGAGACGCGTACGAGCCACACAGGCACGGCTGGAGCCTGTCACTTCTTGCGCGAGTTGAAACAAGAGAATAGGAAGCATGTGAGCGACTGTAGATGACATAAAACACACATTCTTCATGCCGCCCATTAGAGGAAGAGGCTAAAGCAGCGTGATGCCCCCCCTCCCCGTACTTTTAAAATAGATTACTTGCCAGCAGTTGTCCCACTAAGAGCGCAATGACAACCCATCTATTAACCTCCCCGCCTGCGGTTATCGTGGCAAGTTTTATTCCGGC